GGCTCCCGGAGCTGGGCAGGGCCCCCCCGTCCCCCGCGGGGGAGAGCGGGCCGGGCCGCCGGGCATCCTCCCGGGCACCGGAGAAGCGCAGCAAAGGGCCGCTACCGGTGGGAGGGAGCGGGCGCTCCGCTCTCCCCGGGACGCCCAGACCTCGCCCAGTACCGCACCAAGAGCCCAGCCCGCTGTGGAGGGCTTGGGAGAGGCTTGGCATTGACCTGAGGGCCAGTTCTAGCCCAGAGCTGGATGCCCGCTGCTGGCGGGGCAGTGCCAGCGGGGACTGGCCTGGAGCTCAGCCCTCTTCTCTTCCTTCTGAGCCCAGTTTTAGCAGCTCCCAGAGCTCCAGCAAAGCCCCCCTTTTTTCTACTTTTGGCTGGTGGGGTGGAGACATAGCAGCCCCCCGCCCCTGCCTGGAGGGAGACATCCCTCAGGCCACGATCGATCATTTCTTGTTCCCATCTGGTCTCTGAGCTGCTGCAATAACACAGGCAACACATAAACGGGCTCCTCAGGCCGCTGGAGCGGGGCTGTGTCAGCGCTGGGGGCGGCCGTGGGGTGTTTCACCCTTCTGTTAAGTGCATGTGCTGCCCGGACGGCGCAGGGACGCAGGATGGGGCCTGCCAGCAGCGGTGGGGAGGGCAAGCGTGTTGGAGGAAAATACATCATGCTGGATCCAACAGCCAAAAGTGGGGACGCGGCTGCCACCCTGTCCCCAGATCCAACTGGGACCGAGCTGGCCTGCCCTTCACTAGCACTTACACGCTCACTCGCACACGCGCTATATATATATTTACACACAACTGGCCCTTTTTGCCCCCTTACCCCCTCTTTTCCCACTCTTGCTCCTCCCAGCGTCCGCGGGCAGGGGGTTACCTGAGGCCCCTCCTGCCGCTGTCTCGCCGAGCTCCTCTCCGGGCATGCGGAGCAGCTTTCACAGCGCAACCTGACGCAGCGCAGGGCTGCAGCCAGCTGCCCCACGACGTGAAGAGAAATGGGTCGAACCTGCTCCGTCTCTGTGCGGGTCACTCCTGGTCTGGGGAGAGAGATGGACAGATGGACAGACAGAGAAGGCATGTGTGCCCTTCCAGTTCTGCAAATGCTTCTCTGCTGCCGGTGCAGCGAGGAACTCACCGCCCAGCACTCTGCTGCCGTGGAAATGCTCCTCCAGCCTCCGGCGGCAGGACCTGTCGGCCCTCGCAGTTTTTGTGGCTCCCGGGCCCCTCTGCTGCCACTGCAAAACCTGCAAAATTTTTTGCAGGAGCTGTGCCGGAGCGTGCCTTCGGGCACTGAGCAACCCAGCAGCTGAGCAGAGCCTGGTTTCAGTTTCCTTTCCTCGGTTTGCTCAGCAGCACCCAGAAATGAGGGCTTAATTTTTCCTTCCCATACAAAAGGCAAAAGCTTTCCCCAAAGGAAGGCAGAGATCACGCTGACTCATTTGCAATTACTGCTTTATTATACCTTCCTTACGGGGATGTCAGCCAAGGGCAGTTCAGGAAAACTGCTTTCTCCTGAACCCTGACCCCCAGCCCTGCTTTTTGCACTATTGCTTTTTGCACCCATTTCACAGCAAGACAAGCACATGCTGGTGTCACGGTGCCTCTCCCCTCGGATGCTTGGCAGGAGTCAGGCGAGGGGCTGCACGCACAGGGGGGCAGCACAGCTCTGCCCGATGGCAGCAGTCGGCAGAAAACCCAAGAGGGATCAGTAAGGAGTAAAATCACTGATGTTTTTCATCTCCCAGCAGCCGGAGGTTGGGAGCTGCAGCATGCCCTTGGGCTTGGAGGGCAGCACCAACATCCCTGAAACTCACTTTGACAAGAGTACGCTCTGCGTCGGAGTTCAGTATGTCCCAGAATAAGAAAAGTCTCCAGAAATAAAACAGCTGATTTAAAAAAGACAGCAGCTTCGAGGATGGGGAAGGCCTGGAGGAGGGATGGCTTTTTCCAGATGACTGTGATAGGGAACGGTTTTGCCCCACTAATCCCTTCCACCATCTGTCCTTGGCCTTGCTCTGCCCTCCCCTGCGTGGGACATGGGGATGGTCCCGGCGCCGGCAGGCATCCCACCAGCCGCCCGGGAGGCAGGACAGGGGCAGGCGGCTCCCGTGGAGGGTGCTGGTCGGACGTCACCGGGGTGTCACAGCCAACGCTCTGCGTGGCACAGGACACACAGCCCCGGCGTAATCAGAGGCGAGGAGACGGCAAGGCGATGCTGCCCCTGAGGAGGTCCCAGGCAGTTCCTGGACTCACTGGATGAGCCCGGCGGGCAGCAGCAAGCTCTCAGTGGTGCTGGTGAAGGGGGCTGCCCCGCCGCCTCCTGGCTCTACTCCTCCACACCGCTCTGCGCCAGGAAGGGGGAGAAGCAGGACAGAGGGTTAAGCCAAGGCTCACCACAAATCCCCAAAGCCGGAGTGACCCCGCTCTCCAGAAGGGTTCCTGCTTGCCTTCCCAGGAGCCAGGCCCCTGCAGCCCCCTGCACGGCAGCTTTGGGGTCTGACGAAGGTCAGAATACCGGGCACATCTTCCAGAGCCCCGCTCAGCAGCAGCCTGGGGGACCCCAGCCCTGGGAGAGCACCCAGGGCAGCCCAGAGCCTCACCTGCCTCCTCCCGGCTGGGGAAATGCTGGAATCCCTCTAAGTCTGCGGACAGCAGGACTTGGAGAACAGGGTCCTAAGGGCAGAGAAACCTGGGCTGGGGGAGCCTGCTGCTGGCCGCTTCCCGTCTCTCTGGGGCTGTGAGCCTCCCAGCCAGCCCAGGGCAGGGGATGCAGCCCTTCCCCGCCACCCCACATCCCACAGCTGGACTCAGATGCTGCAGCCTCCGCCTCTTTGAGATGAAGGCGCTCCCAGAAGAGAGGCAGCAGCATCCTCGCAGCAGGCGCCAGCGGCCAGCGCAGACCGTGCGGGGAAGGCAGCTGGGCTGAGCCCATTGAGCGCAGAGCCTCCCCTGGGGAGCAGAGCTGACGCCTGGCGTGGGGAGAGGCGGCAGGATGCGGCACGGGGCCGGCTGAGGCTGCATCCCACGTACCTGCAGCCTGCAGAAGGCCAGCGAGAGGCCGTGCTTGCGCAGCTCCTGCAGCAGCTCTGCCAGCCCCACCACCACCGTGTAATCGATGTTGCTGATGTGGCAACAGTCCAGGATGACGGAGCGTGGTGGAGATGCTGCTGGAAGAAGAGCATACGGTCATGTCCCCGACGAGTCCAGAAATGACCCAGCCCGGGGGACACAGCCCTTAGAGCCAGAGCCATGGCTGGAAGGGACGAGACAGCCACAGGAGAGCAGCAGCAACCAGGGGCTGGGCCCTGCCACAGGGAAGCCGTGCCTGGCCCTGCTTGTACCCGTAGCCTGCAGACCTGGGCAGCACTTGCCACCCCCCTCAGCAGTGATCCAGGTGGGCACCGGGTTACAGCTGGGTCCCCAGGACAAGCCGGCAGGCCAGGGAGCACCATACCTGCCAGGGCGCGGCTACACACGGTGTCCCGGAGGCATTCGATGGCTGGGAAGTGCAGGCTGCTCCCCAGCTGCACGAGGAGCACGTCCCCCTCCGACACCTGCGCAAGACCCCGGAGGAGGGGGATGAGTCACGGCGAGCTGGGGGCTGTCACCTTCCCCAGGTGGGGACAACCGCCCGTGTGACAAAGCAAAGCACTGTCCTTCCTGCTGGCTGGGACACACAGGAGCCCCCATTCATCAGGGAAAATCCCCTCCTGCACACAGCT